CGTTCTTTCTGTAGTGAGTCAGAATCCTAGCATTGTTTTAATTTGCATCTCTGAAATGAAAAGTGTTGTTGAACGTTTTTTCAAATATTATTAGCCATGTGTACTTTATTTGAAAGTGTGTGTTTATTTCAGATGCTCATTTATGGACTGAGTATTTAAATTTGGGGGTATTATTTTTATGAGTTCTAGATATGAGTCCTTTGAGGAGCAACTGGCAAAATATTTTTCTCATTTATCGGTTGTCTCTTCACTCTGTTGGTGATTCTTTCACTTTGCAAAAGCTTTTTAATAAGGTAAGATCCCAGTTGTTTATTCTTTGTAATACTTCCCATTCAACTGGGTTTTTCTTCAGAAAATCTTTGCCTTTACCTATTCTCTCTTCAAGAAGATTTAGAGTTTTTATTTTAATATTTAGATCTTTAATCCCAAAGTTGCAGGTATAGTTCAACATATGCAAATCAATAAATGTAATACACAATATCAACAAAGCCAAAGACAAAAATTATATGAACATCTCAATAGACACAGAAAGCATAATTTGAAAAAGTGCAACACCCATTCATTGTAAAAACCCTACAGAAAATTAGAATAAATGGTCTTTATTTCAACCTGACAAAAGCTATCTATGGCAAACCAACAGCCAATATCACAATAAATTGTCACAAATTGACTGCTTCCATCTAAAGTCTGGAACAATACAAAGATGTACACTATCACTATTCCTATTTAATATAGTTCTGAAAACATGAACCAGAACAATTAAACAAGAGAAAGAAATACAAGGAATCAAGATAGGAAGGGAAGAAGTTAAATTATCATCATTTGCTGATGATACGATACTCCACATAGAAGATCCTAAAAATTCCATCAAAAGACTCCTAGATTTAATAACCAAATTCAGTTGCATAGCTGGATACAAATTCAACACTCAGAACTCAATAGTCTGTCTGTATAAAAAACAAACCCACTGAGAGAGAAATTAGGGAAACAACACCTTTCACAATAGCATAAAAAAGGAAATGCTTGAATCAGTCTAACAAAAAAGAAAAGATCTTTACATTGAAAATTACAGTGCTCTGAAAAGGAATTCAAAGAAGATATCAGAAAATGGAAAGATGTCCTGTGTTCTTGGGTAGAAAGAACCAATATAGTGAAAATGGCCACATTTCCAAAATTGTTATACAGATTTAACACAGTCCTGATCAAAATACCAATAGAATACCTCACATTCATTTGGTCCCATAAGAGACCTACAATAGCAAAAACAATTCTGGGCAACAATGGCAAGACAGGGAGCATCACCACCCCTGACTTGAAATTATACTACAGAGCTACTGTGATTTAAACAAAGGATGGTACTGGCACAAAAAACAAAACAAAACAAAAGAACAACCTGAGGATCAATGTAACAGAATAGAACATGCAGAAACAACTCCAAACACACTTGTTCACCTTATTTTTGACCAAGTGACCAAACACCCATCCTGGAAGAAAGATAGCCTCTTTAATAAACGGTGCTAGAAAATCCACCTTTCCACACATCACAAACTAGAGCCATGACTCTCACCATGCACTAAACTAAAATAAAAATGAGATCATGAAGTCTGCAGCTTCCAGGAGCTATCCTGATATCACATGGAGGCAGCCTGTCTGAGAGAAAAAAGAAAACACTAAGAGGCAAAGGCAGCATGATTTAGAGTTGTGATCTCTACTAGTAGTCACCATGTGGTGTTTTATACTTACATGTATTCAAGTTGAACTAAAATATTCACTTCTTCTGTTTCTGTTAGCTACCCTTTAAATCCTCAGTAGTAACACATGACTTTTATATTGGATGAATCCGGTACAGAGCATTTCTACCACCACAGAATGACTTATTGGGCAGCTTTCAGACCTGTTTTAGAGGCCGCCTTTGGTAAAGAGCACTGAGCTTCACTTGAGCAGGATAAAGCTTGCCATCTCTGCCTTTTATACCGATCACTTTTCCATCACTGAGACAAAATACTGAACGTAAGGTAAAGTAAGAGCGGTTTGATTTAGCTCAGAGTTCTGGGGGCTTTGATGCATGGCCTGCTGGATCCTAAGCAGAAGTGGCTTAGCACAAAGGCATGGCAGAAGAAAGCTTGTCAACCCGTGGCAAGGAGCAAGTCGAACAAAGGGAGGAGCCAGGAACAGGAATATTTCAGGTCACAGCCCCAAGACCAGCTTCCTCTAACCAGGCCTTCCTCTGAACACATAAGTCTTTGGGGAACAGTTTAGATCTAAACCATAGCATTCCACTGCTGGTTCCCAGAAGGTTCATGTCTATCTTATTATGAAATGTGTTGATAATGTTCAACCAGACCTTAGCTCACCCCAGAAACCCAATAAAAAGGTTGCTTCCTTCTTCGTTGAAGGGCTAGCCTGACTTTTCTCCTTTGCTCTTCCCTTCTTCATCTCAAGCTAAGGCCCCAAGCTCGCTCTGTCTGAATTAAAAAGATTTTCCTGCATTCTCACATTCTTAGCCTGGTCTATAATTTCTATTTTCAGTAGATCAAGACCACATGTCCAGTATTAGCAGGAGAAAGAAGAAGAAATAGTATTCTAATTTTCTTCCTTATATTTCATCCTAAACTTAGCCTTGCCTAAAGCTGGATCCATTTTACATCCCATTTCAGTTTAAATTACAACAATGAAAGCTTTTTTAAATGTTATTTATGACCTTTATAATTTATGAACAAAAGCTAGCAAGCTGAAGCCCAACTCAGGAAATTTAGTGACTTAGTGAGATCCCACCTCAAAATAAAAGGAAACAAAAGGTGCTAGGGTATTAGCTCAGGGGGAAGACTGTGAATTCAATCCACAGTACATCAAAAGAAAAAGCTCTTGGCTTCCCCCCCGCCACCCCAGTACTAGGATCAAAACACAAAGAAACTTCTCACCTTTTCCTAATTTCTTACCATGACATTTCCTGACAAAACTCAACTTTAGAAAACATATGCACACATGCAATGAAAAGAGATGTGCAGCCACATTTGTAGGTGTCACCAAAATGCCATTCTCTTCTACCAAATATAACCAAAGTTAAATGACTTGTTATGCAGTTAATGGTAATTGTAGGTGAAAGAGATGAGCTCCATTCTGATTCGCACTGAAGTGACTTGGCGTTTTAAAGCAGGGACTCAAGTGAAGTATTACACATTTGGTCAGTAGGTGTGTCTGCTCACCGGCAGTTATGGAAGTTAGGATTCAGTGTTCTCAAAGGAGCCTGGAAGATAGGGAATCTATCCTTCCTATGATTACATTTCAAAGAAATGGCCTTTGGGTTCTGAAAAAGGCACTCCTGTGTTCTAGGGGGTACACATGCATCTCAAAGGAACAGAAAAAGGATTCACAATCATAAGCCTTTCTTAGTAAGTGTACTAAGAAAAAGTGATACATTATAAATTTTTGGTTGGAACAGACTGCAGAGGTTGTCCAAAGAGGAACACAAAAGGGGTCTGGTTGTCCCAAGAACACTAACAGCTTTAGGCTGCTAGAAAGCATGTAAAAATTTAATTGAGTCTCAGTGCAGAGGTTCAAAGGGAATGTTTCTGCAAAGAGCTACTTGCTGTTCCCAGTTCCTAAATTTTTCCATAAGGCACAGCCAAGCATAAATTTTGTCATTTAATCTACAAACACTGATGTAGATAGCACTATACATTTTACAGATGATGGAGACCAAATCACAGAGAGCCAAACTACTTGTCCAGGTCACATATTAATAAATTTTAAAGCATACTGGAACCTAGATTTTTGATGAAAGTTTGTTTTCCTCAAATCTCCCATAACTTTGTCTCCCTACACATCTCCCTAATTTTTCTTGTGTGTTTCTGTAAGTAGCTTTTATAGAAGTACTTCTGCCTTTAGCTGAAAAGCCTATAAGATGTAAATAGGAAGGGGGAAATCATACACACATACACACACACACACACACATACACACACACAGAATGTCAGAAACTTGTGATTAACAGGAAGCAGGTGTACAAACAGAAAATGTGCGACTCACATCTACTGTCATCTCAGCAAATGGCTTGGTACCAATGTTGCTGAAGGGGGAAATTTGATTATCTTTGCTTCCCCCAGAAGACTGATAAATCGAATTCAGACTGCTATTGTTCCAGATACAGCCTGAATCTTCCATAGGATTTTAATCAGCAGAAGCATTATGTAGCATATGGGAGCTATTTGGCTGAAAGGAGACTCCAACTGTCACTGGTATGTCTGCCCAACATGAAAGGAAAATAATAATGCAGAATAATAAGACTTTCTTATCTAGAGAGCAGCTTCCCTCTGAGAAACTCTGCAAGTTTACTGTACTACATCTTTACAACATCCTGTTACAAGGGTCAGAGAATTACTTGACTGCAATCTTGGATGTTTCCTTGCTGATTCAATCAACATTTTAATGTCTTTCATAACTTTCTCTATCCCTTCCTATAAATCATTCTCTTCTCACTTTTTAATCACTTGTTTGCTTAATTTAATAAATAGCTTTCACTCGTTCCTCCCTTCACTTCTCTTTCTTTCTCACTATTAATTTTATTTCTTTTCTACTTGTATTTTATAAAAAGCCTAGATGGCAAACTATGACCTAGCAATTAAGACTATGCCTCAGTTATATCACCCTGTTTTTCCAAAGGAATGGTTAAATGTAGATGCTATTTCACTTACTCATTTCCCAAGTCACTAAAACTTTATCAAATATGTTTTTATGTCTTCTTTAGGACTTCAAAGTATGTCTCAGAGTACTTTACTTCACGCATGGAAGAAAACAGCTCATGACAATGCAATATAAGTGTCATCTCCTTACCAAGTTCATTAAAGGGACTTGGGCAATCAAACAGTGCAATTGTACCTATGGTGATCGTTCCCTAAAACTTTGAGTCAGATTCTAGAGTTAATACGAGAGCCCAGTTTCTGGACCTTTCCACTCTGCTCCATACTCTCTCAGCCTTTCTTGATGTGCCTCACCTTCTGTATCCCTTTGTGTCCACACATCAGAAAGGCCGTGAAAGCATAGCCACATATTTCATAATCGTGAAAGGTTGCCTCTTGATTTTATACACAGAAGAAAATGAGGCAGGAGAATGGGAAGTCCCAGACCAGCCTGGTGAAAGTGCTAGGGGAACAGCTCAGTGTGGAAGTCCTACATTCAATTTCCAGTGCTGCAAAAAGAGAGAGAGAGAAAAAAAAAGGTTGACAGAAAAAACGGTCATTATTTACACATTAATTTAGTGATAGATTCATATAAAAAGATATGATTGGGCAGGGGATTTAGCTCAGTGGTTCCGCCACCTGCCTCACAAGCACAAGGACTTAGCTCAATCTCCAGTACTCCCCCCAAAAAATATATAATTTTCTTCCTCTGGACTTAGTTCTTTTATTTAGTCCTCCAAATTCAAAATTCAGTGCCACAGGGACTCTACCATGGTATTGCCCTCAAAGGGCTCAAGTTATGAAAAGGAACGCCTGGAATATGGGTGCTTGAAAAAAAATATGTGGAATTTTTACAAGGGTAAGATTTTACGAAGAGAAATTTTCCTTCTAAATCCATAATTGGGAATAAAAACTCTCTTATTACTATCAAACACTAGGAAGAGTCAGGCAGCAGAACAATTCTGTGCATCTTAGATAAGGCCTGAAAATAAAGCTTTAGTCACTTGGGATCCTGAGAGGAAAGATAGTGGTTAGGTATTATGCTGATTATAAAAATTAGATAGCAAAGGTGCTCAAGGAAAGATTGTAATATAATCCACTCATTTACTTTCTTTGCTGAAGATACAATGTTTTCTTTTGTTGTATAAACACAGTGCCTGGGATAATATATGCTAAATATTTGTTGCATGCATTAATGAGATATCATTTCTGAATTCTTCAAAACAACATTAAAAATCACTTGTTTAAAGTATTATGAAAATAAAAAGACATTCAAAAGCCACAATTAGGAAATTAATAAAATTTATAAACCAAAAGTCCATAAACCACACTTTAATCTCTCCATGGGGTTGTTAATCTTGATTTACACTAACAATATTGTGTTATATAATTCGTTTTATATATATATATATATATATACATATATAACATAATACTATACTATAATTATATAATACAATACTATACTATACTATATAATACTATATAATATATAATTGGTTATTAAACTAACTAGTTAGCTGCTTCAACAGTCCCCAAAGTTTCACTGTTGTCATACAATGTATTCTCTTTTCTTGCTTTAGTCTGAGTTTCATGGGAGGGGTGGGATTTGGGAACACAAAGTTATTAAGGCACACTAATCTTTTTACTATATTGGTTCTTTCATTGCTGACCACTATAAAGTTCTGCTTTGGAACCCAGCACTTAAGAAGACAGATGATATGTGGCAAATGGTGGAGAGGTTATTGTAGCTTGTATCTAGATGTCCCCTCAAAGCCTCATGTGCTCATAGATGGGACTTTTTGGGCAAGGTTAGATCTAGAGTGAATGAATATAGATATTCAGGAAGCACAATAATAGGATTAGTCCACTGATTGGTTTACAATGTTTCTGGAAGTGGAAATTGGGAAGCCCAAGCCTGAGTGTGGATGGCACCAACCAATAAATTTATAGTATGGATGGCATAAACAGGAAAGATGAAAGGCAGCTTGGCTGTTTTTTTCTGCCTACCCTGCTATGGACTGTTTCTCCTCTGTGATATCCCTCTGTCACATCACCCTGCCTTGGAGCCAGATTACTGTGTGTTGAAATCTCTATAAACTAGGCTAAAACAAATTTGTGGGTATCAGATATTTTGTTCCAAAATGAGAAAGTTACGAAAACTGAGGCTTTGGGGTCCAGGAATGGAAATGAGCACATCATTTTTTCCCATATCTCACTAGTCAGAGCTAGCTCAGTTTTTGATGATGCTTTTTTTTGTTTGTTTTTGTGGTAAGAAAATAATAGGCATTATCAGTTTTTAAGCAAAGAAGTGACTAAGATTAAGTAAGAAATCACATTAGCGATACCGAATAAAAGAATGTAGAAAAAATTTAGAGACAAAGTATTTCTTAGATATTGAAGGAATATAGGCACATCAGATCAAGACTCAAGTGTGAATATTTTTAAAAGAATGACAAAATTGATGCATATATATTTATTTGTTGACTGAGCAGAAAAGAACCAAGTGATTTGTTGACAATTTATATTTTTAGATATAAATATATATCAAACTTGGAGCAGTTTATTTTGTTAACAAGTGCATGTTTAACTTTTTTCCTACCGGTATATGACAATAAAGAAAAATTATATGTGATGAAAAGTGCAAGAGACAGTGTTGTTTTGTCAGGGAAAGACATGAAGACGCGAGAAAAACAAACAAATGCCCAGAATGTTCTGGAATTTTGAATATTACACTGATGGTTTTGTAGTCAATGTGTGACAACAAATTAAGTGTCAAAAGAGGAAAAATTTCATGTAAAACATTTTCTTACTTTTGTTTTATTGCTCTTCACCACAACTATCAAATAGTCAGATACAGATAAAGAAGTCCAAATAAATATTTTCATTTTGGGTGTGGCAACAGTAAGCACTTGGAGGATTATGTAAAGATGTCATTTTTAAGTAGATAAAGGAGAAAAGCTACCCGGGGAGGCTGAGTGTAAATCAGTTCATCAGACAAATGACGTGATTGAAGTGAGTATTAATGTGTTATTCAGTCTGCTATTGCTGTGATAAAATGCCTAAGATTAACAATTTAAGGTAGGAAAGACTTATTCTGGGTCACAGTTTTAGAAGTTTCAGTCCACAGGTAGCTGAATCCATTGCTTTTAGGTTTGTGATGAGGCAGAAAAATCATGCCAAAAAAGGCAGGGAATAGGAAAGTTGCTCACCTCATGGAAGACAGAAAGCAGAGAAGAAAACCAAAGAATGGATTGAGGAACAGATACATTTCCCGAAATACACTCCCTTGAACTAGACCCCATCCCATAATGCTATCAAATTAGGATCTCATTAACAGGTTAAACTATTTGAAAAAGTTAGACCTTTATAGCTCAAAAAGCCTATTAATTGGCAACCAAGCCCTTAGCACATGAATGTGGGGGGACATTTTAAACCCAAACTGTGACAGTCACAATGTTGGCATGCATTATTGCAATTAACTAATGCTCAGTATGTTTAAATTCACAATGCAAAGTCTGTTACTTAGACAAAGAGAGTTGGCATTAATCCCTGGGAAAATAAATATGTGCTTTTTAAAGGCTTCTTGTGAGCTTTCAGGAGTTAATGGGAGATCAGGACACAAAAGCACTGCTGAGCACATGGTAGTCACCTCAGTGATAGGAACAGCCAGTGAATGTGAATGGGCCCCTCAATCTCCTCACGTGGGTCAGCCCATCCTCGGCATGGTTACCATAGAATTCCAGAAAACATGTGCTCTCCCTGGACTGAGCTATTCCAGCTCAAAGAAAAGAGACTTCTTGCTTCAGAGCAAAAGAAAAAATAAATTCACATACATTTTTCTGCTGTTCAATAACACAATTTCTAGAAACATTTTTGGGCATCCATGTTGTCTCTAACTAACAAGAACATTTTAAGTAACATTTTCTTTAATTTCTCAACAATTATGGCATGATCTATATGTATAAGTATTCTACTAAATAAATACTTTTAATCATATAATTTCATAACATAGAATTTGAAATATCTATCCTTTAAATACACACCTTTAATATGCTTACACACTAACATATTCAGTTGCAAAATGGAGAAGAGTCCCTAAATAGAAATGTCATCAACTACCAAATAATAGAGCCCCAAAGAATATTTGTTATAACTAAATGAAGTAGGTATGAGCATTCTTCTCAATTTTATAGGTGAGGAAAGAAAATTACATGGAGGCACAGTTGGAAGTGGCAGTGTACATGAAAGGACTGGGGTGTCTGCAGGGCCTGCCCTCATAACCAAATTTGATGTCTCTTGGAACAAGGGCACAGTGTTCCACTGTCAGAAACTACCTATGTGGTTTGTGGGCTGAGTTTCAGGGAATGGGACAAACAGAGGAGCCCAAATAGCGTAAGGGGAAACAATAAGCAGAGATCATAACATGAAGGAACTTGGACTAATAGAAGTGATAAAATTATTGTTACTGACTCCAATAAGGAAGGTGATGGCACCAAGATTCTGGATTTGCATGAAAAATGCAAAAAAAAAAAAAACAACCCAAAACTAGAGCCTTAGACAATTGCATTTGTGTCCTGTCTTATGAAAATAAATGCTGCTCAAGTAGCCCTTCTTTGATGGCAATTGCAAAAAAAGAAAGATTTGTTTACTTTTAACACAAGTCACCCTTCTTGAATGATTGCTAAGATATCAGAGATTTCTTTCTCTACTCTGTTTTCAGAAGCTCCTTCCAAGCATCTCCCTCACATTGCTGATTGACATTTCCTCAGTGAAATTCTGTGACATTTTCAAGACCTATCATAGGACAGACTGCACATCAGCACATGTTTCTCTAAGACCTATTAGCTCATATTTTCTCTTGAAAAAGAACTCATAGCCTTACATACAGTCAAACTTCTTTGTCACTGTTGATCCTAGTAAAGCCACAATTACCCATAAAGTTTATATCTTAAAATTAATATTTCAGAGAACTAGAATGAAGACAATTGACAACTTATCACATACAAGGATTTCACATAAGAAATTTCACAAATATACATAATGCACCCACTCTATACTTTCTTAAAGTAGATAGATAGATGCATACATACATGCATATTGCAATGTATTTTAGGCTGGACTTCCCAGGGAACAGATCCTTATATACTGATGAACATTATTAGTTAGGGCTTACTAGAGAACAGAATCAATTGAAAAAAAAATGTGTAATTATGCGAAAGGATGTATTAGGTAGGCTTACCAGATTAGAAAAAGAGTCCCCAATGGTGTCTGTGGAGTCACAATTAAAAGAATCCACAATGGCTGTGGGGAGAAGGAGAGCCAGAAAATCCAGTAGCTGTTCAGTCCAAGAAGATGGAAGTTTCAGACCAAGATGCGGCAGCAGTCTGTTGTGGAAGACCTCAAGGCACAGTAGCTGGTGTTTTATGCAAATCCACATTGGAAGGCTGAAAAAAATTGATACCAATGTCCAAAGGTGATGATAAATCCTAGACTACATTATGGTGAAGAAAAACAAAGTAATATTAATATACTGTCAACATTACACCATCATCACAATAAGTCATAATGAGGCTGAGAGTGGTGGTGCACAGCTATAATCTTAGCACTCAGAAGGCTGAGGGAGGAGAGATCCAGTAAAATTAAGGTCAGCCTGTGCTACATAGTGAGTTCAAGGCTAGCTTGGTCTACATGGAGAGACTCTGTCTGAAAACAAATAAACAGACTAACAAAAAAGATTTACAGTGAATCCTCAAAACAAATGAAGCCAGAAATGGTCACATTTTATAATAAAATGTAAAGGCAGAGTAGATGTTGTTGATGAGTTAGCCAGTGTTGATCTTAAACATGTGAGGAATACATATTTTCATAGTTTACAAAGAAAATCAAGCATAAAATATCGCGGAGAAATTTTCTTAAAAGATTGGGGCTGTAATTGACAAATAATCAATTACAACAGAGAAAGAACAGCATGTATCTGCCCAAAGAACCCTTCAAAAAGAATTATGGAGCACACCTGTGAACAGACAGGTGAAACATCACAAGAACCTTCTAAAAAAATAGGAAACCAGCAAATTGTGAAGTACATCCTACCAAAGAAGACAGGAAAACAAAACACTTGTGTTCTCTGCATAAGCGATACTTGTGTATGGGACATGCTGGTATTGTGTGAAAACTGCCTTAGGTGTGATAATTGAAGTAAAGACTACTTTTGTGGTAGAGGTTTACTTGTATTTTCATTATAGTTCACATAGTAATTCATTTCTGCTGTTATTTTCTAGATTTAGTAAGCATTATTTTTTAGATTTAGTAAGCAGAGTTGATGTAGAAAATGTTTATTCTAAACACTCATTACATATTAAAATTTTAATATTTTATTTTCCTGTGAAGTGTACCTTGTTTAATATAACAAAACTCATAAAGTTAAAATTAATAATTAATAGAAATATTCTTTAAAAATAAATATGGGAGGGGCAGGGGACTTAGCTCAGTGGGGCAGCTACTTGCTTCACAAGCTCATGGTCCCATGTTTGATCCCTGCTTCCAAATAAATAAATAAACATGCGTTTTAATGTGTCTTTTCTAAAAATTTGCCTTGGTGTCCCCTGAGGCTATGAGATGAGCATGCTTTTTTCTTTACCTTTGTACCTTACCTTTTACTACCCTATTGGTTGGTGCCTCCCACATCCAAAGTCGCTCTTCTTCTCTCATTTTGGTGGCCTACATGTCAGTCATCCACAGAAACAACCGAAACTATGCTTTACTAATCTGCTAGGCTTTTCTTAATCAGTCAATTTGATATATGATTAAGGGACAGAAAGGAAAGAAGGAAGAGCAAAGAATTATTGTTCAAGGGGGAAAGAGAGTTGTAATTCTAACCGTATGGAAACATTAGACAAACATACCTCTTAAGATTGGGCAGTCATTCAGAATTGTTTCAAATTGATGCAAAGAACCTTCATACATTCATATTGTCTACTTCCTGGAAACAAGCATCACCTGGAAAGAGGCATGACTATGAGTGACTCGGGTTTCTTTAGCTGAGGTGCTTTTCCAGGCAGGTTAAGGACTTTATCTTATAGTATCCTTTGCCCATGGATGAATAAGTAATTTATTCTAAGCAGAGGAGCTGTGTATCATAGTATTTACCACACAGGTAGACCAAGTCTATAAAGTACACAAATAATAAACCAGGGCACATAGATATATGACATTTATGTCATATGTATATATGTGCATATTAAAACCATACCTTGTAAATATATATATTTTCTATCTTTCCCAAGCAGTATATAAGTACTGAAATTTATATTTCTATAGTATAATTTAATGTAATTTAAAAATCTTTAAATTACATGGATTCTGAAAATTACATTTTAATTTTCACATCAAAAAAGGTAATTATGGTTATAGAAATTGGCAATTATTTTTAAATTTATCAGAATGGGTTTTATTTGTTAAATTATTAAATATCTGTGGAAATAAGGCTATTCATCTTATCAGTATACCAGTATAAGAAGTTTGAATAAAATTTATGCTGATAGTAAATAAGATCCAAATGGTCTAACTGACAATGTGAAGTAGGAAGAAAAGGGCTAAAGGTGTAGGGGAAATGGAAAGGATAGGGGAAAGAAAATAAGGGAAAAGAAAAAATATGAGAAAATGAAAAACTGGAAACAAAGTCTTTATAAACGGGGAAGGGAGGAGGGGGTGAAGGAAGGGCAGGGGTATGGGGAAAAAATGAGAAGCAAGACCTGTCATGTAAAAGTACATGGTCACAGTGATGAATGTAACTGTACTGTATAGCTAAAAAGTACTAATAAACTCAATGAGAAAAAAAATTCATACTGATAAAATCAGGGAAAAGTCAGAGATAATTTTAAATGAAAATTGTCAAGCCAGTCAGAATTATCAAGGATTTATTTTAAGTATGAAACACACTGTGTGTGTGTATGTGTATGTGTATGTGTGTGTGTAAATTCTTTTAAACTGGCATTTCTATGAAAAATATTCTAAGGAAACCATATCTAAAGCATTAATTATTTACTTTTTCTATTTTCTAGCAAATCTTATGTTCTCATGTTAGACTTTTGTAAATTCTTTGAACATCTCTCTATTTAAAGTATTTTTGCACCCAATTTATCTATTTCTCTAGAAGTAGAATATTTCATATACAAAATGAGAGATAAAGGTGTTTCATATTTACAGAATTAGCTTACAGTTTAAATATCATGCCCTTGGCCATGGACTAAAATGAATACAGAAAGCAAAAACTCACAAAGTCTACAGTGCAAAGAGCCTTTTTACTTTTTAGTAAGAGGTAGTCATATTTGAAAATTTTTTTCTGTCATCCGTTACCCAAAAGAATAGGTCTTTACCTGAAAAAGATGAGCAAATGGACCATATACCCAAATTCACAAACATGGCTGCCACATTAAGAAACAACTTCTATGTGATACTAAAACAAGGACCCAAAAAGCTCACAAAAGTGCAGAATAGGAGAAGAGAAAAACTGAGTTGCTGATGGTAAAATTATTTTTGGAATTTTCTGAATGAACTACAGTGAATATCGGCTTCCTAGGTGGCACAGTTTTGTGATCTCCAGAACATCTCTCGAACATCTTGTGGAACCCCAAAATTATCAAAATACAATTTTCAGACAGCTAAAAATATGAATTTATTTAAAAATTATTTATATCTTTGATAAAGGAACCAGAAAGATTATAAACTGGTTTATATTAGACTTGCAACAAATTAAAAATGTATGACTTAAAACCCAGATTCACTTGCAAGAGGTAACCAGCCTTCCACGTTGCAAGGTTCATTCAACCTCAGATCAGGTTGCTCTTCTTGAAACTGTCCGTCTTGAAGACTGTACTGGTTCAGAGATTCACGTCAGTTTCTTTCATTTCTATAAACCATCTGCTCAATCTTCTGAGGTAACTTCTAGTGACACCACGCTCTTCTTGAAATACTGATTTTTTTTTTATTTTATTAGTTAGTATTGTGGTGAATTTAAAAGTTTTACTTAACTCTTTCCCTTGACAACTACTCCATTTTACAGAATATGTTAATTTCTAAGAATGAACATAATGTGTTACAATACAAATATTTATTGTTATCCCCCTTCTGTGATTTTTATAGATCAGAAGTACAAAAAAAGATAGCTAAAAACAACATTAATGAGTTAAGACAAAAATTATCAGTTTATTCTTCAAAGAACCACTAATTCATGAGTCTTATTAGTGTCTACTCTGGTAGAATATGACCAGGCATGATGACACGCCTTCCTTACACCATTCTTATTCTGACAAGTCAGAGAAGTTCTTTGAAAACTACAAAGATTAAATATTGAAGCAAAGAGTGTTTTCAGACTTTTACTTTGTTAGATGCTTGAGGATTCTATTCCAGTAAATAATAAAGCAACGTTACAAGTTATTCTTAAAATTTTTCTGACTTAAAGTTTCTGAAACAGCATGATATGGTTGATTGTGCCAATGGATTTCCCCTCATAAGTCAAGAAAAATTTCGCAACAATAATTACCTAATTAATATTTGCATAATTATGATTACTAATTCCAAGAGAACTGTTGTAGTAACAGTGCAACAACTTATCTAAGACCAATTAAGTTGTATTTCCTTTCTGCCTTAATTTATTTTAATCCAAAAGAGCTATAAGCAGGATATGTCTAGTTGATTATTTAATTGTGTACAATATATTAAAAAGTTAGAAATTACTATGAAGCTGAAAAATCTCAAGACTTTTAAAAGGTATCAACTTTATTCCTTATTTCCTACATAGTTTTTGCTATTTTCACAATTAAGAACATTTCCCAAATTAAGATGAATGTGCAATAAAACAATGATTTGGGGTGATTTTCAATCAATAAGAAAGGAAAATAACAGGGCAAAATTACTTTTGGTTAAATGGAAAGGATTAGTGTAATATCTAGCAGTCATATTGGAAAAACAGTAATGCAAAATTGAAACCTCATTTACTTTCTGAAATGAGTAGAAGCATTCATGGAGATAGAGAATAGTATCAAAGAAAAGGTGTGAGATAGATTTTATCCAAGAACTTTGATTCATGTGCTTTGAAATCATCTATATGTGAAGAGAAAGAAGGACGAGAGAAAAGAGGGGTTAAATTTTTCAGTGCGTTACATAGCCCAAAGCAAAAAGTACCCAACACGAATAGAAAAGGAGGAAAATCTCAGAGAATCTGTCTTAGTTACTTTTTCATCACTGGAGATCCTCTGCACCCACAATTCAAAGGGGGAGAGGTTTATTTTGGCTCACACTCTTGAGAGGATTTAGTCCATAACTGGCTAGCTCCAAGGCAGGAAGGGCACACTTACATCACCATGGCAGTAAAGAAAAAGAAGTAAAAAGAAGATCCCAGGAGGGAGATAAACCTGTGACTCACCTTTTCTGACCAGGCCCCAGC